ATTAGATTAGGGTTTTGGGGCCCATGATACTATGTTGATACTAAGGAACCCTCAAAATAATTTAGGTAATTTCTTAGCCCCTATATTAACTTCATTGAGGCAAGGCACATATACGATCAGGCACAGGAGGATCATGGCCCAAACCAGCGACTTCCTCAAGGGGAGCTGAGGGCTTAGGTCCCAACCTCTGTTGTGCGATTCCTGCTATCCAAGACCAAGCATTCCAATTCTCCGAAACAAACCTTTCCAAAGCCCTATATAAACAAAACCACTGAGGTTGTGCGCTTGATATCTCTCCGTCAGTGCCCTCAACCCACTTAAACCGCAAACCTAAATCAGGGTGCAAGGAGGCAACTGATCCCGAAACCCATGTGGCGATCGTTGGAGGTGAGAGTCAGTGTGTAGATGATGGAGGAGATCAACGTCCGCAGGGCCATGACAAATCGCAGAACTCGGGCCAAGCGCACCACCTGAATCGCAATGTGGTTCGTTCGGAGTACAATGCTAGTGGAATTCTAGAACGTAGATGTAGATCCATGCGGATCAAGTAAGACATGTCACGTATCGGATTGACATACTAGGTCACGAGGTGCCAAGCTCCCATATCGCGACCCTCGATGACTCAAGTCAGTTCAGGCTTGATGCAGCATTAGCAGCTCCCCCTGTTGGGATGTGACTCGCTGCTAGTCATATATGCGTACGTACAACAAACATACCTACCCGCATGCATGCATGCATGCATACATGCATAGATACATAGATACATACATACATACATACATACATACATACATACATACATACATACATACATACAAACCTGCATGCATACATGCATGCATACATACATAGACACATACATACATACATACGTACGTACATACATATGTACATACATACATGCCTACCTACGTACCTGCATACACAGATACGCAAGAATACCTCAACATATACACGTGGACGTATACACATGCACCTAAACATATGCATGGACACAGACGCAGAAATGTCCGTATACATATTGCCTTCACCAGACGAGAAATCCGAACGAGGCGAAGGGCCTGGCGCAGAGCCGAGAATGAGCAGGTTTAGGGTTTAGGGTAAGTGCTTAGATTGGAGGGTGCAGGGTTTAGGCTGCGGGATGTATGTCGCAGGGCGTAAGGTTTAGAATGTAGCTTGTGGGGGTTTATACAAATAGGGTGGAGGGCTGAGGGTGTGGGGTTTAGGGCTTCAGGGTTTAAGGGCTCATGGGTTTAGACGCTTGCAGGGTTGGAGGTTTAGGGTTTTAGGGGTTTCGGTTTAGCTGGATTCAGACTTAGCGGCTTGAGTATAGGCGTGGATTTCAGATTTAGGGCCTTGGGGGCTATGGTTTAAAGCTCCGAAGCTGTGGGGCTGAAAGCTCAGCCCTTTTCTTTGCTTCAGGGTTGGGATACCTGCTCTGTGCAATGTGATGAAAAGGTAGCCCTAGAAGGTCGAGAACCCCTTCTTGTACCCATTATAGGCCTTTTCGAAACCTTATTCGATACTAACCCTTTGGAATAGTTAATGCCCTAACCCTAAACCCTGAACCCTTTGGAATAGTTCATGCATGAAATAGCAAGTTAGACCAATAGCATCAGATCTCCAAGCTCGAAACCTTAAGGCGCAAACTTCTCCCAGTGAACATCCGTTGCGGGAGGGAGGTTCAGAAAGGGCTTAGTGTTTAGGATTTAGGGTTCGGGCTTCTATGGCGTAGGAGTTATGTTCAGAAATCAGCTTGGCAATGTAGGCCTTGATTCATTGACTCCCTCCCCTTTCCTGGGATTGCGATAGGGACATTCGGGCCCTTACCAAAGGTGCTTACCTGTCAGGGGTCTACATGAATAGCTGGGGATGAAATGCTGAAATCTTCATTCTAAAACTCTGTCTTGGTTTGCCCGGAATTATACGGGTTTTCCTGGAACGATACCACTCATACGTTGCAGTCTCTACAACCCCAAATCCGAGACTATCCTGTCGGAATTGGGGCAAACAAGCACTGGCCCGCAAGGGGTTTGATGTCTAGGCCCGCTTTAAGCCGCCTAAGGCATCATCTCAAATCCTCTGCTCAACCCCTACCAACCTTGCACATGTAGATGCCTACCCTAAACCCTAAACCCTAAACCCTAACCCCTAAACCCTAAACCCTCACCCGAAACCCTTATCTTTTTACCCTTAACCCAATGTCCTGCAAAGAACGGGCGAGAGTTGCTACACGCCAAGGCCTGAAGCAGCAAGCCCTAGAAACCCAGGTCCTGAACCCTGAACCTTACCCGGGATTTAGGGTTTAGGGCTTAGGGCCCCAAACTCATGGTATAGGGGGCCTGAATACGTACAGTTTTAATAGAGTTGAGGGGTGTATCGTGTTTAAAACGATTAATTATAATTAGGGAACACTAGGAATCACAAAACTGCTCTTCGAGAAACTACAAGCAGGAGCTAACAAGCCTTGATCCCTGTGCCTCCCGAACCCCTAAACCCGGATCAACCCTCAAAACCTGAAAAGTTGCTTAAACCTGTAGAACCCCGAGCCCTAAACCCCAAACCCTAAACCCCAAACCCTAAACCCCAAACCCCAAACCCTGAAAGCACTCTTCCCAAATCCGCAAAGGCCCTCGTCTTACAAGAGCTCTGGCCCTGAGCCCGGAGAGGTGCGGAAGATCTCCATCTCCCTCGGCTGATCTGGATTTAAAGAACTAGAGATCTAGGGTTGGGGTTTAAGGTTTTGGGTTTGGGGTTTAAGGGTTTTGGGTAGACGGGTTTACAGTAGGTTTAGGGTTTAGGGTTTGGGGACAAACTTTGGGGTTTAGGGTTCCCTCTCGCATGGCTGAAATCTATGCCCACAATCGAGGTTTGCTTGGTTGATTGAAGGAAAGAACTGCTGGGATACAAGGCTTCGGATTTAGGGCTTGAGGCTTTGGTTTAGGCTTGGGGCTTCGGGGCTTCTATAGGGCTCGTGCCCGACGCGTTTATAAGGCTCGTGTAAGGGTCTTTAAGTGTGCAGGTTCTTTAAGGGTATAGGGTTGGGGCAGTCGCGATTTAAGGTTTAGGGATCGAGCGGGAATTAAGGATTTGGGCTTCGGGAGAACAGGGTGTATTAATTTCGGTTGAAAAGTTTAGGGGTTGGGGAGCAGGGATTGATTTTTTTGGATTTAGGGATTTGGGGTAGAGTGCATGGATCTAGGGATTTGGGGCTGAGACATAGGATCTCGGTGCAGGGTTTGGGGTTCAAGATTTTGGGTAAACGAAACGGCCCAGGGTTCATCAGCGCAGAGAAAGTCAGGGGTTTCAGGGTTGGGGGTGGGTTTCGGGCCGGGGCGGAACTGCGACTGTTCGCCAGCCAGATACCCTACACCCAGGCCACACCGTAGTTGCAGTTGCAAGACATAGCGACGGGTATTCACTCAAGCAGTAAGCCCTGAACCCTAAACCCTAAAGCCTAAAGCCCTAAACCCTAAACTGCACCCCCACATCACACCCAACTACAAAGGCCCAGACCTTACCTAGACCCCCAAACCCCCAGAACCGAGCAGGTCACCCCGGTTCGCAGGATGATGTCGGCAACCTTCTCCCACACCGAGGTTAACCTTGCAGGTGAGGTGTTTCGGCTTTAACATAGGGGCCTTAAATAATTAGAGTAGGGTTTTTTGGGTCCCATTATGCTATAATTATACTAAGGAACCCCCAACATAGTATAGGTAATTATGTAGGCCCTTATAGTAAGCTCAAGCTGCTTTAGTCGTACTGACTGGTCAGAGCTTTATCGGGTGTTTTCGAGTTCCCGATGCTTGGGAGTGGTGCTGACGGGCTAAGCAACTCTGGCCTTAACTTTTCTGCGTTTCGACTTCGAAGCTCGAAGCTACCGCTTTATGGGTAGTTTTCTAAATTTCGGCCCCTTTGTCCTTTTTATAAGGGTGCCGTACTATAATGGGGACCTAAAAAGGGACCCTGTTTTAGAGAACTACCTTCATAGCTCAGGACTCCAATCTTCAACTTCGGTGTCCGAGCTGCTTCGTCACCTGCAAAGCCTTCGAATTCCAAACGAACGATGTAGGGGCCTTAATAACTTAGAATGGGGTTTTGGGGCCCAGTATACTATCTTTATAATAAGGAACCCCCAGAATGATCTTGGCAATGCCCCTATATTACACCCGCAGGCCTAAACGGCGGAGAGACTTTTCGGGTGCAGGGATCCAGGCGTGTCACTCGAGCTAAGGCGTCTGAGGAGAAGTAGAGGTTCATGGTTGTTAAGTTAAAGGAAACTACAGGTGGGGTTTAGGGTATATAGGGCTTCTATAAGGCTCCCATAAGCTATATAGACTTTCTATAAGGCTTCTATAACGGTAACTACCCACCTCAAAATGTCCTACATTAAGGAAGGTCGGAGTACGGTTTGGTTTGTGCTGGAATTTGAGAACCTACACTCGCGCAGGCGCCCCTGAAAAGTTAAAGGGCGTGGCATGCGGGCGGAGATGGGAGTCTGGGTGTCAGTCTTGGTGGTTGTGATTTTCGGCTTCGGGGTCTTGCACCTCATGTATGCAAGCTGATCACAGGAACTCTTATACAGCCCCTTTACAGAAAACTCCTGGTGCCCCTTATAGAAACCTAGTAGTATGGAGCCCACAAGCTTAGAGCAGCCGAACAGGAACCCATACTACTTGTAGTAATCCTGTTTATGAGCCTTTCCATATCACCAACCACTGAGCCCCGTTCCTACTCTCAACACCCTGCCCGAGGCCGCCCCAGACCTGAAAAGTTAGGCACAGCTTCTTTATTTCTGCCAGCTTCCATCGCCCCGCTTTGCAGCCGAAGAGGCACGACGAATATGTCCAGATAGTTCCAGACCCAGTCCTGCAAGTTCTGCGAGAGCTTTCAGCTGCTTAAAAAAGCTTGCTTTAGGGTTGTGTAACATTCAATGCTTTAGGAGCTTAGAGTTTGAGGGTTCGGGTTTAGCGGCGTAGGGCTTCAGTTTGAGTGTTCGGCGCTCACAGGTGTTTAGGGTTTATGTCGCGGGCCCTTTAACCCCCAAAACCCTATTCTAATGATTAAGGCCGGTATATTAAACCCTTTATCTCTCAACCTATACCCCTGACCACTAGGCCCGCTCTATTGTGTCGGACAATGCCCCTTGAGCAGATCTAGTTTCAAACCGATGATAACAAGAGCACAATCTGAAATCCAAGCAAAAATTCCAAAGCAACTTACGGAATACTCCTGACTCCCTGAGAAGCCTTACAAAAGCCTCAAGAACCTTGTCCAGGACCCAGGGAGTCCGAAAAAAAAGGTTTTTGGCTTATCACGGGAGAGCTGCATTGAAGGCGCCGTGCCCGTGCTTATCTTACTACTAATGACTCTGACCTCTATGTTCATTCGGGTTCGGGGATACTAGAGATCAAGTGCTGCTGGTTTCGGGCAAAAGGGTTTCGGGTTGGGGGATGAGGGACTCATGGGTGAACACAAAGCCCTAGACCCTAAACTTGACCCTAAACCGCACACCCTCAGGGCTTGGGGTCTAAGACTTCGGGCACCCCGATTCCCCCAACCCCTCCACCCCAAAGAAACCCTAAGCCCTAAACAACCCTAAAGTAGCGAAACGAATCCCGAGCCTCAACCTAAACTGAGCAGACGGAAGAATCCTAAACCGTACGTCATCTCCCAAGCCCAAAGCCAAAGACCCAACCCAGAACTTCGAGTCTCACCTAAACACCCTAAACCCTACTCAACCGAGAAGTGCTGCGGCCCTGCCTCCTGCAGGACCGGGGGTGTAGGGTTACAGTAGAAGCCAGAAAGTTGGAACATCAGTATCCTCATGTCCTTAAGGTAAAGAATGGGGAATCCCGGCACCAACCATCCCAAATCCATACTTCAACTTTCTGTGGTTCACTCCAAGGATTTCGGTGCCGCTTTTGGGAAGCTGGATTTCAAGGAAGAGAGTCTACACCCCACCTGCCCCGGTTCTTCAAGCACGGGGTTTCCACAACCCTTCCCAAACCCACATAAGTATGATAACCCCGATTAGGACCCCATTTAGGGTACTTGTACGTCTACTTACTGCCTACTTACTAAGTCCCCCGACCCTCCCAAACCCACCGGGCCTCGCAACAGAAGAAGGACTTCCCGTTCCCGCAAATACGCAAGATGAGCTCCAAGGTAAACATCCCCGTGTAAGCCCACTGGATGGCCTCCGTTTAGGGTTTAGGGTTTAGGGGTTTCGGGTTTAAGGTTTAGGGCTTTAGGGACCTGAACCCGAAACCCTAAACCCTAAACGCCTAAACCGTATGACCGGAACCAAACCCTCAAACCTTATAGTAGTGGATCACAGGCTCGGGATGTGCAGCTCTTTAGGTGTCAAGGTTTAGGGGCTTTTTCCCTCTCGCATTGCAGGTTTAGAGTTTTGGTTTTTTAGTGCAGTGGCCTTTTCTGTGCGATCAAGCCTGGCTCTGATAGGCTTAGGGTTTTAGTTTTTATCCTTTTAGGGCCAAACCCTCGAAATCCCGTGCGAAATCCCCAGGCACTGGGGTGACCATCAGGATGGAACTGTCGAGTTTAGGAAGGCCCGCGATTTCAGGGGGTTTCGGAAGGACCTGCGAGACTCTAGGTGCTATTGGGTAGTGATGAGTACCACCTAACAAACATCCCCACCCAGAACAATCATGTTGGGGCTATTTCTTCTAGGCCCCAACCCGAAACCCTAAACCCCTAAACCCTAAACCCCTCAGCCCTAAACCCTCAAACCCCAAACCGGGTTTGGCTGAACTCCCCCTACACAATAGACTCACTAGACCATCCTGCTCTGACCTTGAAGAGCCGCTAGAGCCCAAAACCACGGCTCAGGGCTTAGGGCTTAGGGCTTATGTCGACCATCTTGTAGACAAAAGCTTCTTAAACCCCTCTCCCATACCGAGGAGTATCAGGGGGATCTTGGCGGCTGACAAAACGGGTGTCCAGTGCACCCATAGAGAAAGCCGGAAAGGCTCATGCCCCCAGACGCCCCGAGCTGATAACTCGGTCCTGCGACCCAACAAAGCCCTCAACCATGAGGTCTCGGAGTTAAGAACAAGGACCCCAGAAAAATAAGAACCCTAGACGCTGCAGCGATTATTTCTAATAATGCTAGGCACGAGTAGTAAAGAAGCTGCGTGCTAAATGCGACGCTGCTGGGATGGAACGAAAGGGCGGCGGCATCCAGCCATATTTCATGAAAAAAACTGTTGTTATAATTCCTATCATGGCTTAAGGTTTTACCTTAATCCCGTGATTCGCGTGCATTGGGCTCTCCGGGAGTGGGGATTTAGAGGGCCACATGTTGAGAGCCTTGGCATCCCAAGCTTCAGTTCCGAAATGCACAAAGAAAACCTATGATAGGGACCTTATCACTTCGAATAGCTTTCCTTACGGTTCCTTCCTATGGTTGTAGCACGCCGCAAACCCTCTTCTTATTGTTTCGAGCCACTAACCCTAAGAACCATCCTTTAGGCTCTCATATGAAGCCCTACATTTGGGGGTTTCCGAAAATAGGGGACCCTAATATAGCACCCTAAATAGTAGGATCCTTATTATAAGGACCCCCAAAATAAGGTACCCCTTATTTTCGGAACCTCCCACATTTCTAAGCCCTACATTTCTTCCTGGCAAGCTGCGTTGATGGTGTCTGAAGGCGGTCCTCCCTCCAGGCCGAGCCTTGACTTCTGGACGGAGGTTTAGGGTTTAGGGTTTAAGGTTTAGGGTTTAGGGTTTAGGGTTTTTTTTTAAAAAAAATGCACTAGCCCTTTCTCCCGCAGAGGTCGACAGGCTCACTCCGAAGAGCGTGCACTCCAAAACAAAAGAGACTGACACCAGACATCATCACTTGAAGTGGTGTCTTGCGTTTAGGGTTTAGGGCAAAGGGTTTCGGGTTTAGGGCTTCGGCTCTCACACTCGGACAATGCAGGCGAGGCTTAAGGTTTTCGGTTTAAAGCTCTAGGGTTTACTCGGACGATGCCAGGCAGGGTCTGCAGAAGACACGAGAAAATTCGGGTTTCGGGATTAATTAGGGCTGGGGTTCTGACTTCGCGACGTGCCAGGTTTGCTATTGAGGTTTTTGTGAGGTTCCAATCACCTAAGCATCATAGACTCCCCCAAACACTGATCTACATCACTACTATACCAGCCTGAATCCAGATCCCTGAACATTTGGTCGTTTGGACTCTTTAAAAATGTTAAGTCTAAGACCCTTACAGCACCAACAAAACCGTAACACCCGTATAACAGCTGTAATGAACCCTCAAGGGCCAAGTCGCCGGATCCTCTGGGCCCTTACAGACTCACTGCCCTCTATAAGAACCCTCAAAAACTCCTCGTAGAGCCCTTCGGTTTAGAGATCCTTTTTTTTCGGAGCGACCCTCTTCCATCCCGCGAAGGATCTCGAGAGGGGAGTTCCGCTGGGCGCTTTGAGTAGCACCCGGCTTAGGCTTTAGGGTTTAGGGGGAGCCCCGGAGGATTGGGTCTGTTGGACCCTGCGGGTTGAAGGCTTGTCGGCATAAAGTGTATAGGGCATGGGGCTAGGAACGACGTTGTACCAGGGCCCTCTGTGGTTCTCGTGGTGTTGCAAGCGTTCTCTAAGGACTGGAAGGGTAAAGCTGGCTCAGCTGGTCCAGCGGTTTAAAGTAGTTCCGAAACCCTAAACCCTAAACTACGAAGTCGGAGAGGCACCCCCAAGCACCGGAAACCCCATCTCACTCGGGGACCAGACGTGAAGGATGTCTGAAGTACAGAAGCTGAGGGGAGAAGCTGCAGTACCGGTTTAGGGATGAAGTTTTGGGGCAGGGCCCTCAATCACCGAGAACCCGGTGCTAAGCCGATCGAAAGCTTTCTTGTTGCACTCAAGGTGCTGGACCTCTACACCGATGAAAATGGAGTTCGTCACGACCACCCATGCCTCAACGCTGGTCAAAAAAGCGGGGAAATGGGTTCAGGTGTTCAGAAGGTTTTTCAAAAGTGGAGGACCGAAGAGGCAACTCTGATGCGCGTTAAGACCTGGTGGAGAAGGAGGGCTCTGGGGAAAGCGGCGGCCCACAAAGAGACCCTCAACCCCAAAGGGTCATCATCCCAGGTTCCCAGATCTTTCCCAGTTCCCTCAAATGGCTCAGGGTTTCGGGCCTCAGGACAGCCCCTACTAGGGTAGGTCTCTAGATTAGGGTCCTCTTCTTGGTCCCCAGTATAGTACGGCACCTTTGTTAAAAAGGACCCTAACACAGAGAACTACCCACTAGTTCACTCTCATGCTTTGGCTTAGTCAGCAGGACAGAAGAGCGGCTGCGAGAAGCGCACACTTTGCTACTGGACGAAACCCTCCGAGGCCTGATGCACCCCTAGGGATGGGAACTATGTTCTGATGTAGTACCCTAAACCCTAAACCCTAAATAGTATTCCCAGAAACCCTCGTGATGGGAACTATGCTCTGAAATAATAGTACTTCAAAAGCTATTGGTCCATCAAGCGTCTCGCGGTGAACCCGTTTTTGAACCCAGACTCTGCTGATCAGCTGGGAAGCAGCACTGCATGATTTCTCACAATCCTGCATCCAACAAAGACACAATAAAGTCACCCTTTCAAGTCTCCTGACATCCTAAACCCTAAACCCTAAACCCTAAATCCTAAATCCTAGATCCTAAATCCTAAATCCTAAACCCTAAACCCTAAACCCTAAACCCTAAACCCTAAACCTAAAACCCTAAACCCTAAATCGTATGAGGACTCTCCAGCCTTGGAGGGCCTGGCTTGCCGGGCAAATGCTCTCGGGCTTCGGTTCTTGGATCCGGACGGTTTAGGGTTAAGGGCCTTAGGGTTTTGGGCTCAGGGTTTAGGGTTTAGGGTTTAGGGTTTAGGGTTAGGTCTTTAGGGCTTGGGGTCCAGCCACTCCCCGGCAGCCCAGGTGCAAAGAAGAGGTCGAATAGAGAATTGTGGACCAGCCGCTCCACCCAGCCTTACGCGAAGCTGGGGGAACCGCCGGACTCCAAAGCCCTGAGCTTTGCACTCCACAGCCCCAAGGACCATCGAGCCCTTCCAAGCCGAAACCCTGGACCCTGGGATTAGGGTTGATGACCAGAAGTCTGGCTTTTGAACCATAGTCACGAAGACAATGTATGCACATAGGCAGATGTGTGTATGTACATGTAAAGAAGTATGTGTACATACCTGCAGATATACAATCATGAATACATACACATTTACATACACCCATGCATGCATACATTTGTGTGTGCGCATGCTCATATGTATAAACAAACGAATGAATATATCTATATATATATATGTGTGTGTGTACGCATGTATACAAGCGCGCCCAGACACACATACATAAGATGTGTGCGCGTGTATATATATATATATACACATATGTATGTATATGCTTGTGTGTGTACGGGAGAACAAGCAAGAGAGGTAGAGGGTTTGGCCCCATGCGCTGCCACGGGGCTCGCGTTTCCCAGCCTGATGTGCGAGCCGGTGCTCGTCTGCATACGAGTGAACCTCTTGGCAGCCTTGTTTGCAACACGGGTTCAGGTCTGTTTAGGGTTGAAGATTTAGGGTTTAGGGTTTAGGGCTGAAGATTCAGGGTTTATGGCCTGGGGTTGGGGTTTAGGGGTTGAGGGCTTCGGACAGTCTTGGGCTGGGGTAGCTGCGATTGTGACCTTCGTCCCTAAGCCTCTAACAAAGCCCGCAAGTCTCGAACCGAAAACCGAAAGCTCAAACCAAAACCCTAATTCCAAAACTCTCAACCTTTGACGGAAGTTTAGGCATTTAGGGTTGAAGGGTTTCGGGTTTAGCCTCCCCATCTCTTCTGCCGCCTCGTCCGCATCCACCGCGGCAGCACAGTCCTTCAGCAACTGGTCTGCTTCTTCAAAGGTACCTGTGCTCTACGTTTTAGGCTTCGAGTTGAGGTTTTTAGACGTCTAAAGTCTGGATGATACACACGCAGTGACTTAAACCCTTCCCTCACCGAAACCCTACGGAACCCTACAAGACCCTAATGACTCCGTAGAAGCCCTCTAGCCTCCTATCGTTCCCGAGAAGTCCCGGCTCGTAGGGGCCTCGTTCTTTGAGGCTGCCTTAAGGGTTTAGGGTTTAGCGTTTCCCGATTTTTTAGGGTTTGTGGCTTTCGTTGGGAAGAGCGTTTCGGCCTTCCGGCACGGGGCGTCGAGTGGCGACGTGGGGGTTTAGGGCTAAACTAAGCCCCAAACCCCAAACCCTATACCCTGTACTCTTTTTGCATCAGGCTTGCATGTCGCGCCTAGCTATGTTGATACCCTATACCCTTAACCCAAATCCCTGAACCCGAAACCCGAAGCCCTAGGCCCTAAACCAAGGAAGAAGGGAGCCTAGGAGGATTCGGATTGTAGGCCCGAGCTCGGGGGGTCCTTTTGTGGGGTTTTTGGGGTTCAGGGCTTTGGGCCCCTATAACAAGGGGTTCCGATATGGGGCCCTATAAGGGTTCCTATACGGAATTTCTATGGGTCTTCCAGGATTCAAGATTTTCTGTGTTGGGTGGCTTGGGGTGGAGGGAGGATTTAGGGCACGGGGGGCGAGGGTTCCAATAACTGCGATTTCAGAGTTGAAGCTCCTCTAACTTTCAATAGCTGTTATTGCAGGCTAGGAATTTCAAGGAGTCCTTTGTGATTTGGAGGAACGTTGTTACTGTTGCTGCAGGTGGTTTGGAGGGTGTGCTTGCAGTGGAGCAGCAGAAGCCCCAGCTGCTTTTGCTTCTTCTTCTTCTTGTGCTGCGGCTGTCATTGCTGTACCGGCTGCTGTTGCGGTTGCATGTGGTGTTATTTGCTGTAGTAGGGGAGGCAGCACGGCCAAGGTAACTCTTCATTTGACATAGCTCTTAGTAGTTTAGTAAGTTTAGTAGTCTTGAATGTTGTTCATGCCGACCCCTTGTGCCAGGTCGCGGAATACCGGCTGCATCGCCGCCGTTGCTGCCAGCAACTGAGGGCGGGTAAACGAGAGTGCCAGACATCTACAGGCGAATCACCCTGGTGCATACAGGGTTGTCCTGGTTTCTTGCGAGGAGTTCAGGATTACTTAGGGCATGGGAAGCAGCATCTCGAATGAGGCCTGCGAAGCTTTGACCAGCTGCCGTGAGCTTCTAGTACCTACTGCAGGGCCGGATACGGAAAAGGAATCTTAATCCCGCCAAAAACCCCCAAAACCGAGATCCAAATCCGCTCTGCAGATGCCCGGAAGGGCGGAAATTTAGGCCAAGGGCCGGTGATCCGCTCGGAGCATGGCCAGGGCCGATCTCGGATCGATCAAACTCTCAGGGTTTGGACTCTCGCACTCGGGGTTTAGGGTTTCGGGGTCTAGGGTTTCAGGGTTTAGGGTTTCGGGGCTTAGGGTTTCGGGGTTTAGGGTTTCGGGGTTTAGGGTTTCGGGCTTACGGGTTTCAGGGTTTAGGGCTTCGGGCTTCAGGGTTTCAGGGTTTGTGGTTTCAGGGTGTAGGGCTTCAGCGTTTAAGGTGGGTATTTGAGGCTTCGGTTTTCGAGGCCCGACTGTCTAAACCTCAGGTTCGCGAAGATTTAGACCATAATTTCTCAATGATAAAGAATACCCCGCGGTTGTCGTCCCGGAGCCCTATGGGGAATCAGAAGATGTTTGCCTATTCATGCTGGGATCGGTGACAGATTTCGCGGCCATGAAACAAGATTCCGAGGGAAGTCCCGAAATATCCAGAAACCACAGAACTTGAACTTTAAAACCAGCGAAAACACCACCCAGCAACTCACGCGTTCGTAAATTCAAAGCTTCATAGACACATAGACTCATACATTCATTTCCATATATTACTTCTAACACACACACACACACATACATGTACACATGCACGTGCACGTACACCTACACATGCAGAAACACAGACACAGACACCAACACAAACACATACATACGGAGAGCACATGCATCAATACGGACAGACAGACAGACAGACAG